CTTTTTCCTAAAATTTTGAAATGCATTAATCTGGGTAATTTGAATGATAGTTAAAATGGAGAAAAAACAAAGGAGATATAGCTTTACCAAATGTTCAGCCTTAATTGTTGTATTGCTATTATTCTAGTCAGTTCAATCTGCCAATATCAGTTTCCTCAACCTCACCTGTTGAAGTCCTTCCTTAAGTGCATAAAGGAGTGTCCTAAATGTGGTTATATATATAAGCTGAATTTGTTTCTTTTTTGGTGTGAAAGCTATTTCTGAGCAATGGAAAAGGCATCATGCCATTCACTCCTTTTATCTTATATATAGTTGCTAAGGTTATAACCTTGTGTATGTTCCTCTTGAAGGACTGGTAAATTTCGACAATTTTTTGTATATGCATGTAGGATGGTGTAATGTTTTGTCACTCAAATAATTTTTCCCCTTGAAATAACCATAGAGAGATTTAACCATCTTAAGTTCTGTACATTTTCAATTGTCTGGCTTACATGCAGGATATCTTAATGTGGAAGGAATGCTTGGTTTTAGAATTATCCAACCTTTTTTAACAGGACAACCCATTAGACCAGACATCAAATGCACAAGCTTCTGGTGGTGGTAAGATGTCTTCATTTGACTTGGTGTGCCCTGAAGACGATTCATGATATGATGAGTCTCTTTCAAAAGAGTCGCTCTCAAAAGCAGGTCAGGATTCTTTAGGTACAATGCTTGAGTTCATACAACACAGCTCACTATCTGTAGCTGAAGCAGCATTTAATCAATTGACTCAAGGAGAGTATGCCAGTATTGAACCATTGGCAAATAGTTTTAGTAAGCCACAAGCTGGCTCTGAGAGGCTATAAAGTGAAGAAGAAAGTGAAATCTCAGAGGAAGACTTCCCTAACACAGAAACAAGTTGTGAAAGTGTGTCTCAAGAGGGTGGTCTTGAAGCAAAACACCAAAAAAACAAAAAAGAACATTTAAATCCTACTTGCACAAACAGTTACAAGAAGCTCAACAACAACTTGGATGAAGTCAAATCTGAAGATGGAAATGATGTATATTCATCAAACTCTCCATATTTTGATGAAGCTCAAAAAAAGTCTGATTTTTACATTAGCAATCAGGCAAATGAATGGGAACATTTAGGTGCCAGACCAAAACATAGACCCCCTAAAAAGTACAATAATTCCCTAGACTCTTCTTCACCAGTTGACCTGATTCCTCCACAAGTTGTAGAACCTGTGGCTCATGGAGTACACAACCCATTGTTGCCTGAACATCTTGAAGACAAAAAGGTTGGCCATGAGTACTGGGAGTGGATGGCGAGTGATGAAGTTGGTTTGCTATCAAGGTTACCTGACACAGAAACAAGGGAAACTTTGAAAGATATCCCTCAGCACACTCAGTTTGCCTTCCTCTTGGATCAAATGAATGAACTAAAGGAAAAGGTAGAACAGCTGACTAAGAAGGTGAAGCTCCAAGAAGAGGAGATATTACCTCTTAAATTGCAAAGACGTGAGAAGAATATTTTTCAGCCACATACTGAAGATATTAGGGAGCGTGAGCCTTGTACAACCAGAGGGTCATGGTCTGACTTTTACCATAAGAAAGGAAATCTCCGTAATGAGACGCATCTGGTGGATAAATCAGGTGAGAAAAGTATCACATGCTTACTGCAGCAACTTCTTACTGCATGCTCATACATAAATGCAAACTCTCCTGGTCTACTGGAAAGTCTTGCAGATCTAAATGAGTCTCTTGGTCACCTAATCACCTACTCTCTCTATATCCTAAGTTTAAAATGTTTAGTTGGATATTTCTTCACCAACAAGGAAATGATGAAATTTGTAATGAATAATTGTATAAAATTTTGCGAATTTTTTCCTCTTCTTTATTACCTGCATTTACCCTAGGGAGTAACAATTTAACAATTGTTTGTGACTTCATGGTGAAGAATCATTGTTTCATCTTATAAAACCATCATAAGCAAACTCAAAATGCAATCTTGACTTGCTTTTCATCAGTCATCTGCTTTTCTGCAAGGTTGTGATTTGAAGTTGCAATTTACCCATGATTTATAAAAATTGCTATATTTTGTATAAAATTGCACAATTCAAGACAGTAAAATATAGGAAGTACTCACTTCTGCTTTTATTCTTCAACAATTGGAGCAAATTTTCAAGGTTGTCCACCTTTCAGAAGATTAAGCTTAAAATTTGTCTGCAAGCTGGGCATTGAACCATATAGTGGCATTCATGTGCAGTTTTACTTGTCAGTAACCTTGAGCTACTTTCTGATAAAAAGTCCCAATTGGCAAAATATGGTTAATTCTTTCTGTTAATGGGCCAATCTTAATGAAACCATTGACATATTTCCTGATCATTTCATTTGATCCCTTGATAGTTGTGATGTAAGAATCATGGAAAGAGAAGAGTATTGCTGACTATCAAAAATGCTATTAAAAAATGTATATCACTGTGTTGGCTTTTGTGGTAACTTTTAATTAGTAACTTGAAAAAAGTGACTTTTGAGGATATGACTCAATTAAATTATAGTTAACATGACTGAATGTGACATCTTACATGTAAGTTGTTTAAATGAAAGTTCAACAAGTTAGCCATAAGCTTACCTAGAATTTGAAAATTCTGACGTAAGAAATGATTTGGTTTAAAATGTCCACAAGCTTTGAGAAAACCCTTTCAAGCCACCTTAATGCTTTTCTAAAAAGTTAATTATTAATCATTAACTTTGCTTTGGTTATTAAATAACCTTACACTTGCTGCTCATATTTTTGCCTCTACTGTAGGTTCATTTCGGCATCATAGACTTAATGAAATCTCAAATTCCCTGTCAGAATCAGAGTTACAAAGACTGAAAGGCCTTGTTCAACCAAAACTGGATAGCTTTAGACTTGCCAAGATCAGGGAAGGTTCAGAATTGTTTCAGGAATTGGAATCCAGAGGAGAATTGTCATGTACCTCTGTTCGAGATCTTCTAGAAAAAATCCATCGGTTTGATCTAGCAGAGAAACTTGGTTCTTCTTCTTATGGCAGTGATGAATTATCCGAACGAGACTTTGATTCACTTCAAGAGGGAGGTCATAGGGAGGAAGAGTGTGAAACTGTTTGTGATGCAAATGATAGAAAATCTGATGAACTGGAAAAAAGCAGGGGAATGACTGCTTGTATTGAAGGTGAAGAAGAGGTCTCTGTTGGCAACTACTCAAATGAAACTGATGCTGGAACTAGTACTGGGGAGGATCTGTATGAATCAAGTTTACGGCAAGAGAACATGGCTGGTTTGAATCAAGATTTTTTTTCACTTGAAGGCACATCAACTTGGAACAGTATCTCAGGTGCAAGGAACGCTGACCAGATAGATACAGTCATAGATCAGTCTAATTCCTACATGAGCAATAGGTCAAATGAATGGGAGCATTTCGGAGCTAGACCTAAACACAGACCCCCCAAAGATGCTAAAGACCCTCCTGCAGAAGCTTCTTCACACCATTCATTGTTGGTTGACCCAGGCCCACATCAAATGAATGAATTTTTGTACTACAACAATGCAGAGAAGGATCCGTCACCACAGGGAGCTTCCTATGTGGAAGGCATGATGAACTTGGCTGACTCAAAAGAGGCAAAACCATACTTTGGGGATTGTCAAGTTATTTCAAGGCCTGATCCAATATATTGCCAATCACATTCTTCATTTAATCCTCTGACTGGTGGAACAAGTGTTCAAGGAAATGATACTTCTGCATCATTAGAGTCCACAGACAACTCCCAGCTTGAATTAGAAGAAGAAGAAGCATTTGCTTTGGTGGAAAGAGTTAGAGAAAGAGGAGAAAGAGGAGAGTTTTGTCAGGAAATTGAAAAAATAGAGCGTGGAAAACAAGCAGAAAGAGTACAGAAGAAGAAAGAGAGGGAGGCTTGTCCAGAGGCAATAGGAACACCTCTGAGTCAGGAGGTAAAAGTTAGAGTTAGCTTTGGGAATTTGTTTTACATATAGATCAAAACAAAATCCTGTAGTTAATATTTTTCTTTCCATGTGCCACCTGTCTGCTTAAAACATTATATTGATATTGTAAGGAAAAATAACTTTTTTAAGTGCAGGGATTAACTTGCTAAAGTTGAGGTGCCTAGAACTGATGAGCAATGCTTTAACAGCGTTAAAAAAATGCAAATCAACCCATTTTGTTTTCCTTTTCCTGGGTAACTGGGGTAGTAGTTTTTAAGGCTTTACATGTCACCCTTTGACCAGGTGGTAGAACTGTGTTTTATTGGGAGGTTGTTTGAATAACTTGAAGGTAAAGGAGTTAGTACTCAAAATTATTTTATTTGGTAATGTAACAGCACAACCAAACATGTTTGAGTTGATTGAGCCACTAGGTCCTTTTTAGGACCAAAAGCACGCAAGGTTATAAAGTTCTGTTAATTTAACACTAGATTCTAAAATTGAATGATCTGCATTTGAAACTTTAACAAAAATCAAGGTGGTGGCTATTTTGTTGACACAATATTTAGCAACATTAATGTGACCAGATGATAAGTAACAGGAGGGCAGATTAAAATTTGGAGCAATTGTGTGCAATCAGGGTCAATGCTTTAAGATTTTTAGATTTCAGGTGTGGAAGTGGATTGAAGGAAGTTTGATTTGTAAAATTACTGTTTCCCAACAGGAGAGGTATATTGAGATGCCAGTCACCTGTAATGTGGAGTCATTAAACTCTACTAACAACAGCCCTCTGGCCTTTGTACAAGGTGTCAGAGATGCACTGAGAAAGGTTTCAGCGAGGAACTTACTGTTCAGAAGATGGTGGTGCACATGTTCCGTTCAGGTACATGTAAGCTTGTGATGTTTTTTATGCAGTTAGTCATCAAATTACAGGTTCTGTCAGACATTTAGTATAACCACAAATTGCATGGGAAGCTCAGAAAACCATGAATGCCAGAACTGTTTCTGGAATGTTATCAAGTCATGAAGAACAAACCAGTTGCAAGAGAACTTAACTGGGTGCTTGGAGATCTCATTCTATAATGTGATTGGTCAACCATAAAAATTTAAAATTTCACAAGTATTTGAAGTGCTGATGTCTGAAATCCATCATTTTTTCATTTTTTGTTTAAGCCTGGGTTTTTCCATAAGGTTAGTTTAGTGTATTACTTGTTAAGGGTTCCCTCAAATATTTTCAAGTAGAACAAGGGATATTTTGTGTAGTCCCATTTACTACCCTGGGTCTCATTAAATGCCAAATGTCAGACAAAGCAATGTTGAAAATGGTTAGTCTAGTGCTTTGAAAAAACTAGCTTCTGAAGTAAATTCTGAATTATTTTTAAAATTATGTTATGGTTTTTCTTTGATAGTATGATCAAGATGCTGGCCCTGCAATCTGTACAACTTGTAACAAGTATCGATGTCTGTAAGTATAAATCAGCAGCACAATGCATCAGATTTCTAATCCTCCCTGCCCATGTGTCCTTTTGAACTTGATTCCATTTTGATACAAAAAGATACATAATAAACCAGGAAAGATTAATGATGGGAGATGTAGTGGCATGCTGGTTAACACACTTGTTGTCCTTTTCATAATGTGTGGATTGACCCTGAGCTGAGTCATATTTGTCTTTTATTCTTGGGTGAGGCACTTACTCCCACATTGCCTCTCTCTAACCAGGATTCCAAGTCTGTGAAATCATTACTGGCAAACCATATTTTATGGGGATGTCGTTGACCCACTTTGACTCAGAGTGACAATGTTAATGTCATCTGTAAATGACTCATTGGTGAATAGAGGTTCCTATTCATGAATTCATATGGTATATTTGATTTATCTTTTCCCCAGAGGGCCATGCAGGGTTAGAGTTCAGAGTTGCTATGATGAATGCTGCATCTGCCAGATGGTAATTTTATAGTTGTTATTAAGCATACAGTGACAATTTGTGCCCTCAGTGAACATACAGTAGAACCTTAGTCTCTGAATTGTAATGTGTTAACCTACAGTTTATTCCAATTTTCCAGCCATGCACTATTATGTAACTTCATTCATTCAAATTCTTTGATATCTGTCTTTTCTTGACCTCATCCCTCTTTTCTTACCCATAAGTTTGAATGGGTATGGCTCTACACTGTACTATAGCTTAAAAATTCACCTTGGAGAGAGGGTTAACTGTTCCACTCCTGAGATACAGATATTATTTTTCTATACTGTCTGCCACAGATCTATGGGCATTTTAGCTTTGAGAATATGTTGTTAGGTTTAAAAAAAAATCAATATGTTGATATTCTTCTTTCCCCTTCTACTTGAGAAATAACTTCCTGGAGTGTCAGGGTTATATTTTCATAAAATGGAGGTGGAAAGAAATGATCCATAAAATGTGACAAAGAATAAAATTCAAGTCTTATATGGTTGCTTTGAGACTGACTTACCTAAAAGATATTAGTTGTTCACCATTCCAGTAGTTACCTTTTGCCTCTTACTAAAGATACCTTTTTTATGTGAGAAGGACACTCTTTTAAATTGGACTTCTGTATTTGCAGCATACCTCCAGCGGTTTGCATATTTTACCGTGCCTACACAGGGCTCACATGGAGTGTATTGTTAGGCTGATACAGCACAACATGTAAGTTTGTCACAATTCAGCCAGTTCCAGCAATCCTCCATCATAATTGAATAGCCAAACTGGAACATTCTATTTTGTAGTTACTTAAGCATTCTCTTTCTGTTGGTCACCATGTAGTCTCTGTAATCATGCTGATCCATTTCGTATTCAAATAACAGGAGATGCTTAACCATTATAAAATCTTTTCTGATGATAGTTACTGTCATTTGCAAAACGTACTTTTGCATAAGCAGGTAATTTATGTCTGACCAGTATGTCTGTATTTATTTTGCAGATTAGATTGCCCATCTTGCTTTGGTGCCTTTTTTCCGTCAAGTTAATTGTGCTCCAAGGTGTAGTCCAAGGTTGTTTAAGTAGTAGTACTTCTAAAGAGTGAATCACTCAAGTCATGCCTGAAAAACAAGATTCTGGTTCCTTTTTTAACTTTCTTTAACATAAACAGTCAATCACATCCATTGCTTTTGTGTAGGAATCTCCCCCTTCCTTAAAAAAGACTGGCGAGGCAATTATCAGTTAAGGTGACGTAGGAAGAGGTGATAACTAGGGAGAGGTAGAGGTGAAGCCAATAGGCAGAGGTGGAGGTAATAGGCAGCGGTAAAGCAGAGCTGTCAGTCAAAGAGCTGCTAGCTGGCTAGAACCTCTGGCCAGCAAGCTACTTTCAAGCCTGTTAATCATAAGTGCTGATGAAAATTTATATGATCATCAAAATACCATCAAAGAAATTTGCACAGGAGCTACTTCCTAGTTTTAGTAGAATTGTGTGGATAATTTAAAACTTATGGGTTTAAATGCATGAAATGATTCCATTTTCAGAATTGTTGCAAAGGCTCGTGCCAACTTCCTGGTTTGTGTTTAGTTCCCTGTTTTCCAAGTAGTCTGACAAAACATAATAGCATACACAAAAACTACCTGCCTGCTATTTCATTATAGTCCTCTACTTCCAAACCAATTGACAGCCTTGCTAAAGTCAAAGGAGACTGATAATAGTGTTGTTACAATTATGGTAAACTTTTGATGGCTGAAGAGAAATCCTTATTTGCTTCAGTATTTAACTGAATATTTATTCAATACCATTTTTAAGGGAAAAAAAGATCAAAGCATTTGGTGAAACAAAGTTAGGGAAGTTTGTTTTCAGCATCACAAGATGCATTTGTTTTCGTCATCCATCGTACTTCCATTTGTTTAAACTACGCAATAATTTAAGTAACAATAATTTATTAATATGTATGATATGAAAGAACAGAAGACGTTAGCGTTAAATGTTCAGCTGAACAAGTAGTATTGTTATGAAACCCAAGTAAACAATACCCATAGAATCATTCATTCTATGTTGATACTGGACTTCTTACTTGGATAGTCATCCAGTCATTTTGAAGCTAATTCTAGCTCAGATAGTGACTTCATCAAGATGACTGCCAATATAGAAGATAATCAGAAATTATGATAGAGACTCACTAGAGTTGCCAAACATTTTCCTGCTGGAAGTGGAATAGAAGGAAGAGAGGAGATTGAGAAGTGATTGATTGAAAGAAGAGAGTGAAATAAGAGCAGAAATAGCAAAGGGAGGCAGGGAGGTGGAGAAAGCCAGATGGTGGCAACAATGTCTGGAAGCAATGAGAAGACCCTCGCATTTTTGGGAGGTAAGAGTTCTTATAAAGCAGTGTCTGCCATGAAGGTCTTTTGCTTCCATTCTCCAACACCTCTTTAAGTTTGCAATTGCTACCAAGATGTTGTGTAGCAAATTGAAGAAGTTGGCGAAATGTTTCCTTACCCTTTACACCCAAACATCAGTATTCATATTCTCCATACTGTTCTCTGTATGTTTACTGAGGTGCTGACAAGGAAAATTTGTCTAACAGTCAAGAGTTTCTGTAGTTGATGATCATTTCCTTTATTCTTATGACATTAATGTGATTCAGTGGTGATATTGTTGGGAGAAATTAGATGTTAGTCACTCCTAGGGGTTAAAGGGTTAATTCAGTGTTGGTGTAGATTGATTTGTTTTCCTCAAAATTGCTTATAAAGATATAATTCTTCTTGAGGTTTTTTTTTTTGGTAAGAAGAATTCTTTTTCCTTTCTAGAACTCTTTGAATTCTGTGAGCTTCCTGTTGCACAACAACAGCTCTCACAACCAAATCAGCTCTTAGATATTTTTACAAGGGGTATAAAAGAGCAGCATGGTTAAGGATTTCAGCAGGGAACCCATAGATCATGGCACAAATTTGCTGATGAAGATGTAAGCAGCTGATGTTTTTTAGTGATAAAAGGTTGGTCATTGATTTACAGGTTGTGTCAGATCAGGTAGTAACCATGTTCAAAAATTGCTTGAAGTGCTGTCATTGTGAAGCTCAGAAAACCTATAAACACCAGAAATATTTCTGGGATATGTTATAAACTTGAGAAGGACAAACTAATGAGGCAAAAGGGAGCTTTACTGTCGGCTTGCAGATCTTATTTTTTTTGTAATATGAGTGGTTGATTATTATGGAATAAACAGTTAATATGAACTATAGGTGTTAATGATTCTTGAGGTACTTTCTTGAATGAGTGTTAAAGTGGAAAGGAATTGTATAAGTTGCGTGTGGAAGCTCATATCCATTTGGTTTTTATTTTGATAGAAAATTGATGGTCTTTAATGAGGCCTTAAGCCTATGTAAAAATTAAGAATTAATCTCTAAGCTTTTGCCGATCCACAGAAACCACTTTTTAATTTGATAGTGCTAAGTACCAGAGAACAACATGAAAAAGTGACTTGTTTTTTTTTTGTTTTTTTGGTTCTGTTTTATTTTTCTGTTTTTTTTTCAAACGGGGTTTATTCCTTTTTGATATAGTGAAGTGATGTCAAAATAATTATTGTTGTTTAAAACAAGGGATTTTTGTGTAGTCCTCGTGATCTACAATTGATCCCCTGATGTATTTAGGAATAAGATTAAGGAGCTTTGCTGTTTATTTTATTTCATAAAGCATTCATTAATTTGATTACCCAGAAGTTTTAGTAGGTATAGTTCTATTGTAGCTTAATAACCCGCCTTGATTGAAAGGTCAAACCATTTCACTCCCAAGATCTCAATATAATTTTTTTGTTACTGTCTGCCACAGATCTCTAAAATTTTAGCTTTGAGAATATGGTGTGAAGTAGGTCAAACAAAAGTAATTTTTTGCTTTCATTGTGAAAACTGACATTGCCTGGGGTAGTAGTGATTCATAATTTAACTGTTCTTTTTTGACTAGGGCCAAAGAAATGTACCCAAAGGACTTAAGTCAAACCAAATTTGTACCTACGTTTATTTGCAGGATGTATATAGTGTTTGTCAATTTTGTCATGCTCACACAAGGTTCACGTGGAGTGTATTGTCAGGCTGATTTGGCACAACTTGTAAGTGTTTAATATACAGTCATTCATTGTTAAGCTTTAGTTAGCACAGGGAAACTTATTAAGTTTCTTAGTCAAGAGGGACAGGGCTTTCTCTATGGAGGGCTACTATTTCATCATGCAGATTATTTGCTCTATTCCAGCATCACTAAATAGCAAAACTGTAGCATGCCATTTAGTAGTCACTCTTGCTCCAACGTCTTACTGTCACTAGGCTCTGTAACTGTGCTCTAACACTTCAAATTCTGCATCACAATTTTTAAGTTCCACAGGGAAATTGATATTGTAAAGGGCCTCCACACTCAATTTTTAAACATGTTATGACCATTTTCTCCGTCACTAGTGCTATATTCCCTAAAAGATAGTTACTGTATATCATTTGAGTGACTCTGCGATTCTTTCTTTGATGAGGAGGGGGCTGGTAATCTGAACATTCCATTTCTTTTCTGATGCAACTTAATGCATCATTTGAGTGCTCTTCACTTACTTTGATCAAGGTGTTAAAAATGTCACGGGCAGTCATTATGAATATGTTCTCTGTTTCTCTTTGTTTCTCGCATGAGACGACGCAAAAAACATCTCTCCTCTAAGATTTACCAGTTATGGAATCTTTTCAACATGTGTTTGTCAATATATATTTATATATTTTTTTCAGATTACATTGCCCATTGTGTGGGCATTGTGGGCTTGACTTTTTTCCCCAAGAGTAACAGAACCCCAAAGTCTGCATCAGGCTTTAAAAAAGTGAAGCCCATCTTTGTTGTTCAAGGAGTATTATCTCAGAGATGTGAATCGTCCGAGCCATGCTGAATAGTCATATTCCTGTCATACCAATGGGGAATCACATCTGTTGCCTATGAGTGGGAATTTCTTCCATCTTTTCCTTAGGAAAGGTTTACTGGGGGTATATATTTTCTTTTTATCAAGTAAAATGAGAAAAGAAAAGTTGATTATTTCTAATACAGTGGAGATCACACCTTCACTATAAAACAATCATTATTATCTAACCTGGTGAATCTCATTGTGTCCTTTTAAAGGCCTTTTATTATTTTCTATTTATTTATATATTTCATTTGATATTAATTTCCTCCATAGTTAAAATATATTTCACAAAGAAGAGAATTTGTGATAAATAAGTTGGAAAATTATAGTAAAATGTAACACAATGAATTGGCAAAGGTTTGTGAAGACTATGGATATGGCCTTGGTTTAAGTTATCTTGGTTCTGAGGTTAAAGTAAAAAAATAAAATGTAGTATTAATGAGCTGTATTCTGCTTCCTGTCTTTTGATCGGCGTCCCTCCTGATTTAAATTATCTTACTCACAACGCTTCCTTTAGCAAGTTCATACAGACAAATGGTTATACTAGATTGTGATTTGCGTTGGTGATTCCATGATATTATAGCTCAGTGATTTTGTAATTTCATGGCCCTGTAATTCCGTGGTATCACAGCCCGGTCGAACTGAAACCCCAAGCAAGGAAAGGAAAGGTACAGATTTTATGTGTATGCTGTATACTGTGGGAATGGGGGCTGGGGACAAATACAACCTTTACTTTTGGTTCTGTTTGGCTGTAAATTAAAAACGACTTCTACGATGAAAATTCAAAACAGTTGAAAATAGTTTAATTCATTGTGAGTTCTTTTTCGTGAAACATGGTCAGGAAGTACGAACAGACCCACTTTAATTTTTTGAGAATTAAGGTTAGTTAAAGGTAGTGCTGAACAATTAATTTGAAGGTGAAAACAGAGACATACGTCGCATAATTATGATGTCATTCGCTTCAAATTCTGAGAAACATTTGAGATCCTTTGATGAAGCAATTGCATAGAACGAAAGATCTTCACACCCTGGCTGTACTTTGGAGTAAAAATCCTCTTCACTAAAGGAACAGATCAGTCGTGAAGGTAAGCACAAGGACGTTTTCTTTGATGGGCCAGTCTAGGCTCTTAAATATTTCATTGCAAGTGGATTCCCGAAAGGAAATCCAGTTGTCAGGGACAATTCTCCCATTGCTGAATTTGTTTTAAGGTGGCACAGTTTTAGATGAGCTGGTGCAGCACGCAGTTATAATTGCTGAAATTTTAATTGTCGTCATAATTATCGAAACTTAATAATTGTCGAAAATGTTTTTACTGAGCGGTTCATAGAAATATTATTGGCGCCTCCTTTTGGTTAGCGAATGAATCTAACTGAGATGATAGCAGACTGAACTGAAGTTGTATTGGTAAACAAACGATCAAGAACTGTACGTTTGAGCGTACGCAAGTTTTTAAAGCAGCCCTTTTGAACGACCGCTCGACCAACACATTTCGCAAAACTAAGCTCATGAAAAACAAAGCTTGTTGATCATTTATTATACACGTATTCACCAGGTAGCTGTTGAGTTTCTTAGAAATATAGCAAGGTCCAATTTTAGGTCTTACGATTCCTGTTCAAAACAAGTCGGGATATGCTGAAGTCATCGGACCAATGAGGAAAACGGTATTGTTTTCTCATCCGGCAAAGACATCTACTGAGTCGTACTTCAACCTCATAAACAATATTTGCTCTGTTTATATAAATAGCAGGTTCTGACGGTAGTGGTCCGTGTTGGATTGCAACGAGCTAGAGACGATTTTGACGAAGAAAGGCCTACCAAAATCATAATGCTGTTTGGCAACAAAATTCCTCAGCAAAACATCAGGCCCCGGTTGTTCGAAGAGTGGATAACGCCATCCATTGGATAAATCTCTATACGGTGGATAACTCAGTACGTATTGTTCACGCTTATCCGCTGGATAGCGATTTATTCGTGGGTTAGCGTTTAGTATCCACCCCTTTGAACAACTGGGCTCAGAATGGTTCCGGAAGAAGCTTGCTGACATTGGCCTCTTTATTATGCTTTCTTTGGATCGGTTTTCTCCTTCCGGCAGTTACCTACTTCTCCGAATTCCTTAAGCAATTATTTTTTAAAACCACTCATTAACGGGTTCAGCTTATCTAAGCCGGTGAGCTCGCCTGGGTTCTATTCATGGTTTAGTCAGTCTAATCCACTGCCATGCGTGTGTTCAGATCTCATACGGTTTCTGCACTCGGGGAATTAGTAAAGAAAAATTTCCCGTCAGAGACAATACAAGACTCTAACTGTCGGGTCTAGAATTCAGAAAAACTTCAAAAAATAAAACTTTTATTCCTAATAGACAACATATATATGTCGGTGATCAAATCGGAAGTCAAAAATCAGTAAAAAATCTAGAGAACATCAGCTGATGTTCTTTTGCTAAAATTAAGTCGAAAATTCAGTTCCAGTGACATATTTAGGTTGCTTTTCTGTCTGTTCATTTGAAGTTGAAAAGAAAAATTCTTTCATTCGTTGTCGCGGAACCATACCTGTTTAAGACGCGGCGCAACAATCAAGTTCTACACACGTTTTCAAACCAAAAAGCTCAGAGACCACATTTATTTTCAGACGTTAGGTACTTATAAGGCTTAGGTATTGGACACCACTGCCTAAAGTGCTTTGCATGTGGTCTCAGAAATACCGTTTCCTGTTATGATAATTATGCAGTTTGAAATCTTTCCTCCTCTATTGTTTTTTAGGAGTGCATCAAAAACAGAGTTGAGATTCGATCTGGGGGCCAATATTGAGGGAAATATTCCTCAGTGCGGCTCGAGCAAGCATTCCTAATATGGCACTCGGATCGAACTTTTTTATTTTGAATTAGTTGGCTTTAGCGACCAAAAATACACGGCTTATGACCGTTTCCGAGGAACTCAGTGGTCCATGTTTATATCAAAAAGAAAAACGGACCAAGTATGAACAATGTAGAACGCTCAGATTTGCCTTAGGTTACCTTGCCATAATAAATGATATAAGATAGTGTTGCGTGACTATATTATGTCGCAAGTTGGGTTTTTTTCCAATTTTTACTTGGTTCAAATTTGCATACACAAATTTGCGCCCCCAACTGTTAAGCATCTGTATTCGTTTTCTTCGATGAAGTTTCGAACTCAACTTTGTACATCTTCCTACTAGATCACTAGAGGACAAAATCCTTTGGCATACATGACATAAAGGGCATTTTTCAAGCTAACTTGGGTGAGTTTGTCCGAGCTTTGAGCTTTTCTCTCGATGTTTACCTATCGCTTCGATTAATTTTTAGGAAGGACAGGCCTTAACGTATTCCGTTGAAAAATCTTGACTCTGTGTAGGACTGAAAGAATTTTTCAGTCACATGATTGTTATAAGAAAAAGACCCGTGCCAAGTTTGACCTACATCTTTTGATGCGCAGGTTTTCCTTCGTGTCCCCGTTTCTCTAGTGATCGTTTCTTTTTTTGTCTGTTTACAATTCACGCGCCTTCTTTGCATTTTGCGTTCCTAATAAGGACTGAGACATATGATGTGTTTAAAAACCTATGAAAACGTTCTATATCTTATCCTTATTAGTCACAGAAACATAAATGTACAAATGTGGGTTTATCACATCAACTTCAATCTTTCTATCATCGTTTTTTAGAAAAGCACCATAAAAATGCGTCGGAAGAAAATTTAAGAAACTGCTGCTCTGACATAACATTTTCTTATTAATCACTGTTTGATCCCCAGTGTAGGAGACGAATTTTTCTTCAATTCCTTTCGAAATCAGTCTTTCTCTCGTAGGCGACTAATGTTCGCAGAGAGTGATACTTACTTGAGGCTAACATTATGTTTTGAGCGTCACACCTGACAACATGGCCTTATGCCAAAAATTATGCCCAAAATGTTTCATTACGCTCAAGTTACTGATTAAAAACAAGAGCTTTTAAGAGCTCCTCAACCTCCCTTCCCCTATTCCTACCACCAAAACAGGTAAAACTTGCCAGGTGATATAATTTTCGCTAAGGACTGAAGCCTAATTGGCAGGTAAACCGCTGGCCCTGAATTTGTTTTAACAGGTTCTACTCTTGATTAGTCTGTCTAATCCACTGCCATGCGTGTGTTCAGATCTCATACGGTTTCCACACTCACGGTAGAAAACTTTTTCGTCAGAGACTTTCCAAGACTCTAATTGTTGGGTCTAGATTTCAGGGAAATTTGAAAAAATAAAACTGTTATGCCCAATATACAACATTAATGTATGTCGGTTATCAAATCGGAAGATTCAGTTGCAGTAACCCATTTAGGTTGCTTCTCTGTCTTTGTTCATTTGGAGTTGAAAAGAAAATTATTTCATTCGTTGTCGTGGAACCATATCCGTTTAAGACCGCAACAGTCAAGATCTACACTCGTTTTCAAGCTAAAAAGTACTTATTTACTACTTAAGATTTAATACTTATTTACTACTTAAGATATACTACTTATAAGAATTAGGTCGGGGATGCCTCCTAGCTAAAGCAGTTCGCATGTGGTCGAAATTCAGAAATTAAATTTCCTGTTATGATACTTAGATAATTTGAAATCGACTCGGGGACGCGAATGAAACAGTAATTTACCGATGGTTATGTAAAATAAATTAATGGGAGGAGAGGATAATAGGCAAGATATCTTGGGGAAAAAAAAAATTTTGAGAATTTTTGCCCCCTTAAGTCTTCACTCCTAAGCTCGATGACCAGCCAATGTTCGGAACATTAGCCAAAGACCGGACTTGGAAGGGGCAGATATTGAAGCTTCCTCGTCCCCAAGCCGAGCGCAATCAGTGGAATATTTCTGAGTTATTCCGTTGTGGCCGATATACTTTTAAAAAATTGTTGATATAGATTTGATGAGAAGGGCAACCAATCGCTACGTTTGAATTGTTATGATCGAGAGGATGTGAAACAAGTTCTTGTTGTCCCGTTATCAGAGGTTGGTGTCTGGTTATTGATTCATTTCTCTCCTCTCTCCACATCACATACGAAGTCCAATGTGACACTGTTGAGAACCACAAGAATAATTTTAACTTGCTAGTGATGTAAAGGTGCCCTCGATGTTATGTTATTTCTAGGATTTGGAAGGTTGTAACATTTCGGTTCATGTGGATTTCAGCTAACAAAGAAACAATTTTAGATCAGCTTGGTATATTTTAATCTAGCCGTCTTCATTGGTTTCCTTAAGGAAGTCTGATTATAACGACGCTAAAACTTTACATAATTTTGCACAAACTCGTTTTATGTCTTTGGTACTGAGCAAAGTGTACATTAAACATCTCGCTCGACCACGCAGCCCATAGGGGCAACTTTTGATATTTCCGCTTTTTAGACTGAAGCGAGTAAGAGTATTTCGCTTTCAATTTGATCTGCGCATGGGTTTCATAGGAA